CAAAGTCACATATTCAATCATAGAAACTCTTCAGATTTGATCAGGACTTGGGAATATATACCCTATTTCATATTTTAACATACTCATTGCTTACATAACAGTGTACATTCTACTTACACGTTTATATCTGATGTAGCTATTATAAATCTATTACCTAAATTTTATAAACTGTAATCACATTTGTCAGTAAAACTGAATACCCTAAAATGATAAAAGATCATTTTCGGTAAATTATACAATTACATATTTGAAAAATCACTTATGGGGCTTTAAAAACTGCCATATCTAATTACTTTAAAAGTAAGGACCGTAGAATCTTTCATTCTAAAGTCAATTGCTTTCAGAATAATTATAAAATAACTCCCACTTATGAAGTGACTTCTTTCTGTGAGGCACACTGCACTAGGAAACTTTTAAAAACTCCTCTAATTCTCAAAACAACTCACGAAGTATTATTATCCTCACATTAAGGACAAGAAAATTGAGGTTCAGAGATCTTAGGAATTTATTACAAGTTAGCAACTGGTGATATTAAGCCAGGAATGCAGGTTAGCCTAATTTATAAGTCCAATTTTTTGCCATTAGGCCACATTGTTTCTTAAAATCACTCATTGCAGAAGGTACATGGTATAAAAAGGTGAATTTGTGCCACTGAAGCCTCACTTCCCAGTACAATCTAGGGCAGAAATAAGAGTTACAAACAAACAACTGCAACATAATGTGGTAAGTGCTATGAAAGAAGTATATTTAAGAATATCATATATAATTCCTATGTTGACAGATAGTTACCACACTAGTGGGGGTGAGGATTTAATAACATGGGTAACTGTTGAACTACCATGTTGTACACTTGAAACCAATATAAGATTATTTATCAATGACACTTCGATAAATAATACATAAATAAATGTCCAAAACTAAAGTCTATTTTTCCATCAAACTTATGTACTCCCTGCCCAATCTCTCAGTAATCATCTAACCATGCAAGTTACTGAAACCAAATTAAATCCACTTGTTATTATTTCCCAAATATATCTCAAACACATCAGTTTCTTTCCAATTCCACTGTCATCATCTATCCCAAGCCCTTACTAGAATACTGCAATAGAGCCCAACTGGACTCGCTCACATTTTCCTTAATATTAGTTGATTTCCTTAAAGAATTTAATTATTACAATTGGCAATATTTTTACCTGTGTACTTGAATTTTATCTCTCCCTCCTATTAGAATGCCTTCATAAAGTCAAGGACCATAAACTGTCTTGTACCTCTTTTAGTGGATGCTCAATAAAATATTTCTTGACCAAATAAACGAATGAGAAAGAGAACAAAGAAAATAAATAGAAGAATTGATTAGGGGATGTGTTGAATTTGAAGTACTTAAGAGAAGGCTGTGAGGTATAGTGGAATAGTTATAAATTAGAGATAAGCAATCAGAAGTCATCAGGTTCTACTGAAAGCCAACTATAAAATGCAAGCCTCAATATAAAAAGTGATTATATAATTTGAGCAATCAGATGTACTCTTAAACTACAAACATTTAGATCCAACTCTGTAATAAAAACATGTCTTAACAAAGCACAGAATGCCCCATTAAGGCTTGACTGTGCCTTCAAAATATTTTGTATGGCTAATAAGAAATTAAGTAATTGCCTTTCTTTAAGTAATACTCAGTATCTACGTAATTGTCAAACTTTTATTTTCTTAAAATATAAAATACCACAGATTATTTTGACAAAATGAAACCAAAATCCATCTAATAAAATACAAGAAAGTGTGAGAATGATAAGAAAATGTCTAAAAAAAGAAAAGACTTACCTACTAGACATCAAAATATTATAACATTACAAAAATTATGATCATGTATATGGTACCAGTTGAAGAAAAGACAGAACAAATAAAACAGAGGCTAACATAATTATGTATAAATTATAAATTAAATGTAAAAACAAATAAAAATTACATGTACATACTGTTTTTATTAACTAATTTCTAAGCATTACAAAAGCTTTTCAAAGCATCACAAATAAACTAGAAACTATGAAAGAGATTTCAACACTAAAATAACTGTGCAACAGAAAAACACCATTAAAAGGTTTAAAAGACAGATTTCAAAATGGGAGTAAAGACGTGCTAAATATGTGACTAAAAGTTAAAAACCCAGTAAGTAATTTATTTATTACGAGACTATGATAGATAACAGACTACTCAAAAAGAGATTAAACCAAAAAGGACAATCTCCATATAAATGATGCTCAACATCAACAGAATTGAATTAGATACAAATTAAATTAATGAGGCCACCTTTTACAATCAGAGTGGATAACAAAAGATGGGAGTGGGTCTTCTCAAACACTGTTAACAGGAAACAAAATGGGCACATTTCTAAGGAGGAATTTATACTTCTGGCTAAAAAGCTTACCTCCAAAAAGTAATATTTAAGGGATAATCAGGCAAGCATATGAAGATGATGTTCACATCAGAACTGCTTTTAAAAGTTAATAATTGATCCAGTGATTCCAATTCTGGATATATATTATATATACAAAAGAACTGAAAACAGGATCTTGAAGAGATATTTGCGTACTCTTGTTCAATGCAGCATAATTCACAACGGTTAAGAGGTAGAAGCAATCTAAATGTCCAATCACAGATGAAGGGATAAATAAATGTGTCATATACATACAGTGGAATGTTATTCAGCCTTAAAAAAGAAGAAAATCCTGTCATATGCTATAACATGGATGAATCTTTGAGGACATGATACTAAATAAGCCAGTCACTGAAGGACAATACTGCACAATTCCACTTTATGAGGTACCTAAGTAGTTGAATTCTCACAACAGAAAGTAGAATGGTGGTTGCTAGGGATTGTGGGAGGGGAAAAATGTAAAGTTGTTCTTTGAGTACAATTTCAGTTTTGCAATATGAAAAGTTCTAAACGTCTGTTACATGACACAGTACATATACTTACTGTATAGGACTGTACATTTTTAAATGGTTAAAATCATAAATTTTATGTTTTTTATCACAGTCAAAAAGAAAAGTTAATTAAAAATAATGTAGATATCCATCAGCTAGGAATTGGTTATGTTAGAGACAAACAATGAAATACCAGAGAGCCATTAAAATTGATAATACTGCTATATATTCAGTCATATTCACTGTACATTATTGAGTTCTAAAAAAGTTTACAAAAGAGCAAAGTAGTATGATATCATTCACACATATGTCTGAACCTGTAAAAGAGAGATACTTGTAAGGCTACTCACAAATTTAATTGTGGTATCTCCGAGTAATAGGATTACAAATAACCTTTACTTTCTTTTTTATATTTACATGTTTTTAACTACGAGTTTAAGTATTATGTGCACAGCAAAGGATAGCTCAAAAAGGAAGCTGCATTTTGTGCCAGAATGCTCAGCTGGAATTTTACAATTCTATGTGTTTAGAACATATTGGGGAATTAATAAATATTTGAGAGGCAGAATAGGTTAAGAGCTCAGGAATGAGACAGACCTGAATATGAATCTCAGCTCCAAATCTACTAGACAAGGCTTTACAGTCTTACTGAATTTCACTGAACCCCAATTTCTTCAACTGCAAACATAACATAACAATACTTGGACATTGTTGCAGCAAAAATGTACTTAAAGTACTTAACATCATTCCTGGCTCAAAGGAAACATTAAAATAATGGCCATCTTTTACTATTTATTAACTTGATTTACCAAGGAAGAGCTCACAACAACAACAAAAAACAAAACCTAAAAATCAACAGGAGACCATACCACTAAAATACACAGAAAATCGCAACTGCATGAAAAAGAAAGAGATAATGCTTTGTCTGGTGGACCCCACAACACTGGCTGAAAGGTGTGGTTACATTCCTATATCTGGAAGGATTACATCTTAAAATTATCACCCAGTTGATACATAAACGCCACTCATGAATATTAGACACAGACTTACTAGTGCTTCAGTAAAAAGAAAAAAGGAAATATGATTATTTTAATTCACAGGTAGAACGGGAAAAGGTTAACAGAATAAACAGCACAAAACATGACTCATTAAGGCTTTACTTAATTTAGAGAGATTAATAGAAAGAGTAACACTACCGATAATTTTCTTTGAGTTCCTCACTACCCCTGGACAAAAAGCCTGTCTTTTTTGGCATTCTTCTACCCCCAAATTCTGGTATAGTGCCTAGTACAGTAAGTGTTCAATAAATACTTGCAAGATGATTAATAGGAGTAAATCTCAGTGAAATCCTAGGGAAAACTGAATTAGAATTTATCTAAGAAAGTTTTAGTCAAAATGATGAGGGAAAGCGTTTAAGAACGAAAGCCATCAGGCCTGGGGAAATAAGGCCTTTTCTGTTAACCCCTTCTGTATCTCGAGGCATCTCAAAGGGAAAGTCCAACTGCCAAAATACACTCAACTTTGCATCCCAAAGGGGGCATAAGCCAGACCCTAATGTGCTAAGCTTACTAGACTATGGGCTCCGAAATCTTTATAGTAATATCTTCATTCAGCAGTATATTACGGCTAGCACCCTGTCACCACTTGTGTGACAAGTGAGTCAAGCATACTCAAAAAAAAAAAAAAAAAAAGAATGGTAATGAAACCACTATTATCAATCCGGAGCCCTTTTGTAGCTTTTCTCCTTCGAACCAGCTTTTAGAAGTCTGTGAAAGTGGGAGGAGTTAGATCAGAACTTCCGAGCCCGTTCTTTTTAGTCAAAGTGTTAAGAAGCCATGCTTTACTCACGGATAGCGGCTAAAGGCATTTAGAGGCACCTTCCACAAATGTATGGGTGGAATCTAATGGTGAGCAAGTCAGATCAGAAAAATGGGACTCTAGAATTTAAGACTAGGAGTGGAATGGCATCATGGACTTGGGAACTAACCCCATCCCACTTCACCCACTCTTTCCTAAAATGCAATTCAATTCCGTTCAACTTCCCACTGGCCCGCCGCGCCACCCTGAGACGGCCACACCTGGTGTATTCGCTGGTCTCCACTCCCGCCATACGTTTGGCATGTGTCCGCCCAAAGCGGAAGTGACTTCAAAGGCACAAACTGAAAGTAAGAGAGTGCAAATACTGGGAACCTAAAACCTCTCCGGTATTCTGAGAAAACTTTTCGAGTACCTGTTCTTCTATTCCTCTCTTTCCTGGTAGGGTGGCGAAAAGGATTCAATCACTACAGCCTTGCTACTAGATCCCCACCCCAAACGCCAAATTATTCAAAAGTTTGTTCCTTCTCATTGACCAACGAGGCAGCAGAGGCCTGAGAACTACAATTCCCGTCAGGTATCGCGGGAAGTAGAAGGGAGAAAGAATATGGGCAGAAGCAAAGTACACTGGGGACTGTAGTCGGCTCCAGGACGAAAGGGCACTCGCCCCGCCTTCCCTCACAGAGGCTGAAGAAACCAGGTGTTCGGCTTAGAACCCGTTACCGCTAAGAGGAGCCCAGCCCTTAGGCAGCGTTCCTCACTTACTCCCACATGGAGGATGAAAATTTTCCTTACTTCTATAAAGCATTGTAAATATTCCTTGTAGGAATATGGTTGTATTTCCATTATCTCCAGGTCAGTAAAAACTCCCAGAACTCCCCCACCTCAAGCCTCTAACTCGTGGGAAAAGGTGGCTCTTTTATAAGTGGGCAAAATGGCTGTCCTCTTAGTTTTACCATTGGTTGCCCTTTGCGTCCTTCAAGGGCGGTTACTTACCACTGATTGGTTCTTTTACCCTTGAGGGTGGAGAGAGACTTGGCAAGGCTCTCCCGCGGCCCAGGAGATAAAGGGGTGGAGAGAAGGCCGTTTGTTCCAGCGTGATTGGGTGGTCCTCGTGTCACTCCGAGAATGTACAACCTATGATTTGTCGATTACCCCTCAATGCGATGAAGAGGCGGGGGTTAGTGGTGGGAAGGGGCGGGATTTTGCCAGCCGCGGCTGCCGCTGGAGCCGGTGTCCGGGCTGGTGATGGGGTTAATTCCCTTTCGTAAGACTCTCACTTGCACCCACCCAGCCCCGCCGTCGCCCCGCCGCGCCGCGCTCCAGCCGCCTCCTCCTCCTCAGTAACACGGGTAAGAGATGCCCTCCCCTCCCCCCTCCAGCTCCCGGGAATAACGCGCCTCGCTCCCCTCCCCCGTCCGCCAACCGGTAGCGCTAACGGAGAAGGAGGCAGGCAAAGAGAGAGAGAGAGAGAGAGAGAGATGTGAGAAGGTGGCCGCCTCAGCCGAGCCGTCGGGGCTCCAGCCAGGCCCGCCGACCTGCTGCAGCGTCCAGCCCGCCGGGAGGTCGGGTTCTAAGGGAGGCCGGCTCGCCTGGCCCGCCGCTGCGGCTGCAGCTGCATCCACTACCTTGTGCCCACCGCCCCCACCCGGGGGCCATGTGAAAAGCAAACCCCTCGAGGCCTAGCGTAGGAGGCAGAGGAAAGGTTCCCGAGTCCCTCCCATGGCTGCTTGCTGCTGCCCTCGCAGCCCCAGGGACTCGGGAACCGGCCACAGAAGGCCCGCCGGGAGTGGGTGCCGTGCGGGTTCTGCGCTCTCGGTTTGCTGGCGCCAGTGCCCCGGACCCCCCAGCCCACACCACGACCGCAGCCCCGGCCCTGCCCCGGGAGAAATTTTTAGAAATTTAGAAAGGAAATAAGGCATTCCGATCAGTTGGTGAAATGTAGGTGCATCTTGCCTGTGGTACCAATAAAAGCACAATGGAATTACTAAAAAGAAAGTTGAATGACTGTCAGTGCCACGGACCCCAGGGTCAGATTTACACACATTATGGTTGAGCATTAGACTGCCCTCCAAAATCCTGGTGTGTTTCAAGGTTTTGTCGTTCTCGTTTTTTGTTAAGAGGTGCAGAGGAGAGTGCCTCTGTTCTTTGAGTTTCTTTTATGTAGAAACTTAAATTGTTCGGGCTATCATGCCCTGTGTATAATTGTCCAGGGACAGCAAGTCAACTTAGTAAAAAAGTGAGGAGGTGCTTTCTCAAATAGTAACCCTTAGTAAATAGAAGATGATTTTTCTAATATGATTTTCCAGGGGAAACGAATACATATATGTATATATATATATATCTCCAAGGTTATAGTTTGCCTTTCTGTAACTGAAGAAACCATTTACTTGAAGCTTAAATGTCATTGATTGCAAGAACTTTTGAGTAATGAAAGGTTAAAATCAAACTGGAAACCTGTTTATAATATTTGAATCAATAAGATCTATGTAATATTTAATATAGTAGGATACCAGTATTAGTGACTAGATTAATTAGACACACTTCAATTTAACAACATTTGAAATCTTAGGCAAAATTTGAGTGCAAATGCTTCGTCCTCATATATCGATTTAAGTGCTCATCTTTTCACTCCTTTTTTGCCTGGGTGTATATGTCTTAAGTAATGGATTCTGTAATTTGTTGTAGACATGTCCATAATTAGAAATGAAATACTAGGCCTACTTTTGAGGTTTACTTGTTACCAGAATAATTTGGGTTGGGAAGAAATATCTCAGTTTTGACTAGATGTTAGACCATTTCTTCAGGGTCTGAGAAGTCTATACTGCCATAGTAATCTTCCGTGTTCTGTAACTAATACACCTAGTTCCATAACTAATACAGAATTGGCATAGATCCATAGGTTCAGGACCTGGAAGAAATTTGGATATGCCTTAAAATTTTAAAAATGAGACACATAACCCTGGAAGGTAAGTCCCCTCAGTTCCCTACAAAATACTCGTAGCACATACATCGCTCAGCATAGCACTTTTTAAAACTTGTTAATTGATGAATTTATAATTGATGTTTTCAGGTGTCATGTCCTCTGAAAGGGCTGATAAAAATACAGGAAACGTGTACATTCTCTTATTAGCTGTGGGACCCCTCTATGAGCCTCATTTCTGTTTCCTCATTTATAAAATGGGGATGATAACGCTTAACTCATGGAGTTGTGAAGATTAGAGGTGATGTAAAGCCCCTAGCATTGGGCCTAACACACAGTATAGATGATTAAATACTGTTATTTTCATACATATTAAGAGAGCAAGTTACATGAACAGGGTGTTGCAGCCTCAGATCATGTTCTGATTTTGACGGTTTTTATTTATAAAGTAACTTAAGTGCAGTTTGCAGCTGGCCATTTTCAAAGTGAAAGGAATGTGAGAAATTGGTCATCAAATAGAGAAGAGTTGTTTATTTTATGGAATTTTTTTTCTTGTTTTTGCATTAAAATTCAAGAGCCTCTGGTATATGTTTCAAGTGGATTATGTGGAATTAAATATGTGGTAAATTATTGTACTGGTAAGTTATTGTAATATCTGAAATTTTATTTAGCTAATGTGTTTCAAGATCTAGTGTATATAGTTGCTTTCTATATTCATTGATGACAAATACAAATTACTTTTGTGGGCTCTCAGGCTACTGGCAAGCAACAGTTGGACTCTAATACACAGTTAAGATTAAGCAAGTCATTTGAATTTATTATGGCCATAGGCTACTTTGGTTTTATTGCTGTTTTTAATTCTCATTATTTATCAATACTTGATTGTTTCTTTTGTGTGAAACAACATGCCAGACACACTGTTCCTCATCCCAGACACTGTTGAAAATGTACTGAGTCTTTACACATATCAGTGTTCAGTAAGACACATTTAAAGTTAGCGTGAAAACAGTTCTATTAATGAAGTTCTTCTGACAGTAATGCCTGGCCAGGGTACAAGGCCACTGCATCTTATGCTGAATGGTGAGCTGAGATACACATTATGGTGGGTCTCCCAAGATGTTGAAATTAGTACAGCTGGCTGCTCCTTCAAGGGCCTTCCATGGCAGCAGCAAAACATTTTATGAAACTGAAATAAGCTTTTTTAAATACTATACAGAAAACATGCATTTCCATCCCTTGCCGAGTAATAAAAGATTGTACTAGCACTTTAGAATATCTAATTATACCCATTTATATTAGTTATGTTTTAATCCTCAGAAATAAAGGAGCACTTAGAGTTAAGTTTTTTTTTCCATTCTTAAAATGTTGCAGTAATAAAGAAGAATTTGTAATATATTGTTGATATTTGAATTAGAAAATTTCACTATTAACACTTAGTAATTTTTTTCTAAAAAAAGAAAATAACCTTCCACTTAATCCCTGTGAATTCAGTAATGTTTTTTTTAATGATTCAGGCATGTGCAAAGAATCAAATCATGTAATCAAACAAAATTTTATTAGTTTTGCTTCCAAAATAAGGACATGTTACATATCAATCAATTAAATTGCAAATCAAACAATTTTGCTTATACCTGATAAGACATCAACATGTGTAACTTTTCCAGAATTTAATTAAGATAGTCATTGGCTGATGGTTGAAATAAGGGATGGGTTATTTCATCCTAGCTCAAAGCAAGTTCTCTACCTTATTTTACAGCAATTTGGTTTTTTATTCCCAGATTTTATCCTTTAATGCTTCATACCTAGCCTCCACATATGCCTGTTAACTTAAATTTTTACCTGTGAGTTTTGAAAGCCCACACTTTACGGTCTTTGTTCTGTCTTTACCTTCTGAATTGTAGATTGTAACTGTTTCTAAATTTCTACCTGTAAGCTCACTTCTTTGAGCAAGTTGTAAGGTTTTTTGAGCCTTATTTCATAAATACTAGACCACATAGCATGTTTAAATGATTGTTCTCATAGCCTGCTTGACTAATATTTTCATCTACACTCTCTAAAACTACTTCCACTCCAAAAGAAATTAAGTGTGGAAAATAAACATTTGTTTTTGTTCTCCACCTTTCTTCCTGAAGGAAGTAATTTGAGATTGCCTTGTCTAAGAGTTTAAAGTACCATAATTTGACTTCTCCCAACTTTAGTTTGATGACAAATACAAATTACTTTTGTGGGCTATCTGTGCAATAAGCTCCCTAACCTACCTGTTTTCTGCATTAAAAGAAATTCCATAACTTGTATAAAATATCACCATTTGAACTAGAGGTTTAACTACGTATTTATCTTGCTACCTTGGCCCACACTGAGGAGAGAAACCATGGGATTTAAGTAAAAAAAAATTTTTAGTGTTGTGGGGGAAAAAAATCTGAACATGTATGCAAAATGGCTTAAATGAGCACAAGGCCCTCATTTTAC